GAGAGAGAGAGAGAGAGAGAGAGAGAGAGAGAGAGAGAGAGAGAGATCCTTTCCATTCCAGCCTGTCACAATTCTTTGGCTTTATGAACAAGCTTTATTTATATTGCGTTCCGTCTGAGGTATTTAAGCAATGGAGTGATTGTACTTGGTATGCAGAGAAAAAGGGCAATGCATTTCTCTGGATTGAGGGAGAAAAATGGGAGGACAAGGACGAAGAGAGACAGAGAAGGATCTGAGCTCAGTTAAAACCATGGCAGGTTGGAAAACATGCCACCGGGCAGCCGAATCTGTCTGGTGCCAGCCGCTCCTGATATTTGAGGGCAGAGGACACCGCCATGCAAATCACATCGTATTATATACCCTCTTAAGAGCCCGGCTGATCTTTCACGCGATCGGGGAAGGGAGAAGATTGAGCGCCTACTTAGGCATTCACATCCCCAGCCTTGTGTAAGAGCCAACGCTACACTCTTCCTACCTTTCCAGACAAGCCATGTGCACCACCATCACCCCCAATTTCCCTCTTCCTTTCTAGGAAAGACTTAGAAGTCAACCCTTCCAGGTGATCTGAAAGGCTTCAAGAGAGAGAGAGAAAGAAATTCCCAGTGAGGATCTACTAATTGAAATCCAATTTAGGAGGAAGGAAGAGATACGTTCTTCAGGGAGGGCATATGGCCAAGAAGGATGGTGCCATGTTGCAGATGAAAAAGCAACAGATGGAAACTAATCAAGAAGAGAAGCAACCTAGAACTAAGGAGAAATTTTCTGATAGTTGACGCCTTGCCTCCAGAAGTTGTGGCTGTTCCATCACTGGAGGTTTTTAAGAAAAGATTGGACAACCCTTTGCTATAGGGTTTCCTGCTTGAGCAGTGGTTTGGACTACAAGACCTCCAAGGTCCCTTCCAACTCTGTAAATTATCTTATTCTGTAACGTGGCCATCACTTTTGAGCAGACTTCCCAAATGTAGACATCCTCCAGTTAAGTGGGATTCCCAGAATTCATAGTAATGGTTAAGATGGTTATGGAATCCTGGGGTTGAAGGCCACACATCTGAAGAACATCCAAGTTGAAGGCTGGTAGCACAAACTGAGAAGTAGAACTACATCTTCTGCATGCAGAAGACCTTGGGTTCAGTCGAGAACCTCCTGTCTCCAACTTGAGGAGCTAAGATAGATAGCCAATTAAACATATCTTTGGTTCTGTACCAGACAATTTTGAGGTTTCCAACAAAACAAGTCAGGTGAAGGCCAGACAAGGAATAATGGATGGAAACTGAACAAGGAGAAATTCAACCTGGAAATAAGGAGAAGTTTTCGGACAATGAGAGCAAACAACCGGTGGAACAGAAGTTGCCTTCGGAAGTTGTTGGAGCTTCATCACTGGAGGCTTTCAAGGGGAGATTGGACTGCCATTTGTTGGGGATGGTGTAGGGTCTCCTGCTTGGGTGGGGAGGTTGGACTAGATGACCTATAAGGTCCCTTCCAACTCTGTTATTCTGTTATTATTCTGTTATTCAGAAGTTGTGGGAGTTTCGTTACTGGAAGCTTTCAAGAAGATATTGGACTGATGTCTGTCAGAAATGGTGTGGGGTATCCTGTTTGGGTGGGGGGTCGGGCTAGATGACCTACAAAGTCCCTTCCAGCTCTATTCTGATTGATTCAACCTAGAGGAGAGATTTCAACCTACGGAGAGATTTCCTGACAGTGAGAACAATCAACCGTTGGAACAGAAGTTGCCTTCAGAAGTTGTGGGAGCTTCATCACTGGAAGTTTTCAAGAAGAGACTGGACTGCCATTTGTCATAAATGATGTAGTAGGGACTCCTGCTTGGGCGGAGGGTTGGGCTAGATGACCTACAAGGTCCCTTCAAACTCTGTTAATCTGAATCTAACCTGTAAGTCTGAAGAGGATGAAAGTTTATGTGTTTGCTTTCCACTAATCAAAACATTTTATAAGCTAATGGAGCAGAAGAACCCCGCTGTTTCCGTTTCTAAAGACCCAAGTGGCCTACTATCCCTTTCTCCAAAAGTCCCATCAGACACTTTTAGGAAACACCTAAGCATGACACAGAGACATAAAGTTGAAGCACAGATAATCCAGAGAGAAATCAGAATATCTCCAAAGAAATCCCAGCAGCTCATATGCAGCTAGTTAATTGGCCCATAAATACTCAATCCTCTAAGTTAACATAAACATTTAGGGGACTACTTTAGGCTTGCAACAAGAGAAGAGAAGAGGGGAGAGGGAAGGAGAGAAGGAGAGGAGAGTGGGGAGGGGAGGAGAGGAGAAAAGAAGAATGGCCACTACAGCAAAGGTCCTACTCTTGAAATCTCCAACTTGAAATCCACAGAGAACGAGGAAGCACAGCTCTCATTTTTGTCATCTAATGTGAGCCATGTAGGTGGGCTGAGTTGAGAGGTTCATAACATTTTAGATCTTCACTTTTTCCCCATTACTGAATCACTTACTCCTTCTTTTCTCCCACACAGGACGTCATTACACTGGAAGGAGTGAGACGAGGACATATGCATTGGTTTACTTACTGCTGGTCCAGTAAAAGGAATATGGTCACAATTCTCTAACCATGACTGGTTGAGACTCTCTGCAAATTCCTGGAAGAAAGGGTGGGACTGGTTGAAGATAGAAAACCCCATGATGTTCACTCGATCGTCCATAAGGCTGTCCAGTTGCTGGAGAGAAAATTCCTACAAGGAAGCCAAGGATCAAAAAAGCAGAATTAGTATGTTCTTCAACAGTCATTCGACAGGGGGAAAAATATGAAGGGAAGGCATTGCACGAACTGCAAAGACTGGTAAAAACTAGGGAACATCAAGAAACTTCAACAACTATTTATTTATAAATTCCTGGGGGAAAAAAAAGAATTCAAAATCCTCATCTGTTCCAAACATGACCAGGAGGAAGTCATGCGTAACATCAAAACTGAGAAGGTCTTAGCTTCTGTCTTTATGAATCTCGCTGGAGAATCCAACCTCTATCTCCATAAAAAATAAAATAAAATAAAGGCTCATCTTCACTTCACAAACGGGGACTGACCTTCACAGATCAAAGGAGGCATTAAAGCTACCATTTCTATGAGCAGTTACAACCATTAAATAAATTATGATCCGGGTCAGGGCAGAAATTTTACCCCTCGTAAATCAGAAATGTAATGCTGGTTTTCTGATGTTT